AATGGTTTAAATAAAATAAGTTTATAGGTTGTATCTCCCATAACCAGGACTCCCTGGTCCGGAAACATCCATGGTCCACCATGGACCACAGATGTTTCTGGACCACAGAGCCCAGGAAGAGGGAGGTGTGGCAGCAGAGTATAAATGGTAAGCACAGTTATCTCAAATGGAGGTTTCCAAGCAGTTCAATCCAAACACACAATGGTTTAAATAAAATAAGTTTATAGGTTGTATCTCCCATAACCAGGACTCCCTGGTCCGGAAACATCCATGGTCCACCATGGACCACAGATGTTTCTGGACCACAGAGCCCAGGAAGAGGGAGGTGTGGCAGCAGAGTATAAATGGCACCGGCGACTCTGTCAGGAGCCCGGGGGGGGGGGGGGGGGGGGGACACAGAGCTCCGGTCCCAGCTGTGCAGCCAGGTGGCTGTGGAGCTCTGCATTGGTTGTGCAGCTCTGGCTGTGGTGCTCCATCCCTGGCACTCCTCTTCAAGACTCCCAACCTCCAGCATGCTCCCACACCCTCCGTCCTATACAGATCCCTCATCCTTCAGCAGCGAGCAATCTGGCCCCTTCCTTCCCCACTTTGCTTGGCCCCACCCCAACTTCACCTCTTCCCTCAAACCCCCATCTCTTCCCTGCTGCTTTCCAACCCTGCTTCACCCCTATTTTCCCCAACTCTCCTCTACCCCTGCCCTGCCCCCATTCCATCCCTTCCCCCAAACCCTTACCCCTACACCTCTTTCTGGCTTCCAGCTCCTCCCCCAAGTGACACTGGCAGCTGGCTCTGTGGGGTGGAGCAGGGCAGGATGGGGCATGTCACTCACAGCTGCCAGTGTCAGGCCCCCTGGACACTCTTAAGGCTGCCCTAGACCTTATGTCCTCCTGACGCATTGGGCAGTTGCGCTGGTCCATCGTATGGATGGCATGACTCTCAAAATATAAGCCCAAACATTGGTGGAGCTGAGCCTATGTTCCTGAATTCTGGTGGAACATGAGCATCACGGGTCCATATAACTCACTGCCTATGTTGGCTGGAAGGCTGGTTGAGCATGACTGGGAATATTGAACTAATTTCAACAGAACTTGAAGAAACAAGCTTAGATGATGAATTCTTTGCAGAAATTATACATTCCCTTAAGGATAGGTGTTGATTATGATGATCTCCAGTTCTATATGGTGCGTACTGGAGACCTTTGAAAGAGAGTGCAGATGGGGTAACACCATGAGACAGCCAATCACATCTTTATCTCCTTTGACAATAAAGGTGATATTTGTTGTTGTTGCACTTGTATCAGGAAAATCTGAGAATGAATCTGAACCTAAGCAAGGCCAAGAACACATTGATTTGCCCAGACAGGATATAGAAGAAGAGAAGCCTTTCTCTAGGCCTCCAAATCTCCGATAAGAAGTTTCTTCTTGCTGGTGTGGCCTACATTCTGGGTACATTTTTCAATCAGTACCTGATTTCAGAAAACCAAGCATCAAAATGTCATCGTCAGAATCATCACAGGACTCCACCCACATCTTTCACACGCTGATCTCATGCCCCATTCTTGAGATGCTGAGGACAGAATACTGTTACATTCTCTACTTTACAAAAAGGCCACAACTAGCCCAGGATGTTGCTGCTCTCTTTGTTACAGTGAGAGTCAAGCAGGGAGATTTCTAGTGACTTATTGCTGGATTCACTTCTACTGCTGTATGGAAGGGCACACAAAAGCTTGAGTTTCGGGGAGGGAGGGTTAATTTTAAGACACTTTGAGCTCAATCCTCATCTGGGCTGAGATGCAGCAAGGAGGCAAAGGTGGCTGTATATCACCTCAGTGCTGCATGAACCTACACTAGCTGTAACAGTATCCTAGGAACTATTCCACAGGGCCAGAACTACCAGAACATATGATCTTGCTCTGCCTTTTATGAACCCCATCTACCAGAGGGAACAAGAGAACAGGTGACATGAAGCCATTGAAACAAGCCCTCAGTACATTATTAGTGCCTTTTTCAATGTCACCTCTACACACGGAACACTCTCCCTATCCCAGTTTGCCAATCTAGTTCCCACTGAATTAACGTTGCTCCTAAAACTCATCTCTTCCCCAAAGTATGAAAAAGTGAACAAAACCAAATATTAAGATGGAAAACACTTTGCGTAAATTTCTTTCTAAGTTCTGGATGTCATCCCTCCAATTCCCTATACAAATACACACAGTGCGTAGAATATTGTCTACAAGAAAATTTTAGATCTACAGTTTTCTGAAGTGACTTATAAGTCCTGTGCCTCACATTTCAAATGCTCAACTCTACACATTTTATTGAAGCCTGATCTTTGGAAAGTGCACAGGGTACTTGACCTCTAAATATCAGCCATCTAATAAGGAGGTTCAGTTGGGCACCCAAAAAATGAGAAAATGAGAAACTCAAAAATCATTGGTTAATTTAAAATTTTGGTTGTAAGCTTTTAAAATCCTACTTAAGTAAAAAGCGACAAATATACCGAGGACACAAAAGACGACTGCTCTGCAGAAGATTAGCTGGATTTTTCGTTGTCATTTTTGTTTTGAGGAGGAATGTCTTTTTGCTTCTAGACTTCTTGGAGATGGGAATTTTACTGTCTTCACAATGGCCTCCAGAGCACACAAAATACATTATCTGCAGCTGTTTATTGTTGTTCCATCTCTCTACTTGCTTTAAGTTATATAAAGCAGACAACAGCAATAGCAAAAATTGCTACTGAATTACAGCTCTGTCCAAATGGTTTCAAAATACTTCAGGAAGAATAACTAAGAGCATTATTTTTGTGGTTTGAGCTGTAATACATGATGCAAGGGCAATGATTTCCTTTCTTATGCTTCTACTCCAACAAAGAGTGACCCAAAGAATGACCATGTGGCCCAACATTTTGTTCAGACATAGGAAGTCAGGAACAGTCAAACCGGACGAGAATAGTCCTCCTTCTAGTCTGGTATCCTGTCTCTGAACATGGCCATACCCGATGATTCCAAGGAAGGTGCAAGAATTCCCATTGTAAACAATTATGGAAAATACAATTGGTAGAGGAAGTTCTTTCTTAACCATCACCAAACTAGTGGTTGAGTTATGCCCTGTAACTTGATGGCTTCTAGTCCTTAAAAACTGCAGGATGACCTCAATATCTGTATAAATAGCTCTTTTTTTTAATCACACTGGGCTTTTAGCCTTAATATCCTGTGGCAGTGAGTTCCACCTGTCACTAATCAGTTGTTTATTAATTTAATTGCTTTTAACCATTTTAAATTTACTGCTTTCATTTTCACTTAGGACTGGGACAGTTGTGTTCACAGGAAGTGAAAGTTTACAAAATATATATTCTCTTCTTCATGCTATGCAACAAACCCGATTGGTTCTTATTTTTTTCTGTATTCCTAATCTCTGATTAACATTAAAATATGGCTTCAGTACCAGATGAGAGATGCAATGTGGGAACAGTGCATGCAAACAATCTGAAAACATATTGCACACACGCACTCTTACACTTCTAAACAAGCTTCAAGCAAAATGGACCATTTCAAAACAGAAAGATAATTCATTCTCAGATTCTGTGGGTTGTTTGGTTTGGGGAGGATAGAGTTTGAAGGTTTTTTGTTTGTTGGTTTTAAGCAACAACAGACTTAATTTAAAGTTGTATCACATTCTTTCTAGATTACATAACACACGAGACAGAATAATCTGGAATGCGCCATTTTTTCCAGTACCACCTGAGCTTTTTAAAGTTTTTTTTTTGTAAAACAAATAACCTTTGGGAACCAGCTTTACAGTACTTAAGATATTGGTGGATAAAACTAAGAGCAATGTATAATTTTCCCTAATTTGTATTGTAATGTAACATATTGTTATTAGCAGCATTTTATTTACAATTGTATAAGCCTATACCAGTGAAATTAGATAACTTACAGTACATTACAGTATTAAGGTTCTCAAAGTTAAATCATGCCAATGCAGATGTTCCTAATTACCCTAAAAGCACAAATACTTACACAAACCAGTTGCTTCCAGCTACAGAATAATTCAATTAAAGAAGTGCTTATAATTGAATAGCATGAATGATAGTTAAGGCTAGTCATTCTGAGAAACCGTAAAGAAATAGAAACATCTATAATTTGCATCACAGAAGTAGATTCAGAGTCCATTTTGGGCAGGAAAGAAACTAACATGGCTTTTAACAATGATGTTAAACAGATAGAAGACTTCATTTCTCTGGAATCATTCATTAATTTGTATTTTTCACCTGAAACAATCACTAGATACATCCAGAGTGCTGTTACTTACCTAGGGCTGCCAAAATAGACACCAGCTCCACCCCTAGTTTATATTAGTGCTAGAAAGGGAGATGCAATAAGTAATGTGATACAGTACATCTCATTAAACCAACATGTACGCTGAAATGAATAAGCTCTCCATGCACACAGGATCCTGTCAGTAGATAACAGCTATGGCAGAGAGCCTTTTTTATGTATAGAATATTTTGTTACTTGTTTACTGCAGTTCTCCAGGCTCCTGCAGGTAATTGTGTAATACTGATGCTTATTTCGAAAACAAAACAACATCTCTTAAGAAACAAAGTTTATTTTGTAGCTCTGTGTTTCTGATTTGAAAGTGGGAAGTGATGGCAAGTTACAACAGCATTCATCCCTGTGTCATTGCTCTCTCATACACTGCAATATGTTTTGTGTTACTGTCTAAAGTGACAGGTACATAATAACATTAAACCTTTATTCACAGACCTTAGTGAGAAACAAGGGAAGATGTTCACTGTATAAAAAGTGAGGGGGTCTAAAAACCTCTCTCCTACACATCCCATTATATTAGGTCTAATTAAAATATACAATTTTTTCTAGTTTCTTTTAACCCCACCATTCATCCTAACATTGGGAAGCAAGAAATAAAAACTCTACTGAAATATGACAGTTGTCTCACGTAAGTTATTTAAAATGTGAAAAATCAGATATATTACTATACCTTGAGGCACCTGTTGAATTGCCAGCATCATACCAGAGATTGTATCAGGAATCAAGTTTTCCTTCAAATTGTAGCTAGGTGCCCACTTCAAAATAGGCAGCCTTCTTAAACACCACAATTTGATATCTTCACAGCGAAGAGCATGGATCTTCCTCCACACTGCACTTTTCTTTTTGCTTTTTGCCCCTGCCATGCTTTACCTCCTCCAAAGTTTCTCCTTAACAAATTACCAATGCAGAATTACCCTGTTCAATTCCAGTCTCCAGATCGTCTTCTGAGAGTTTTCAGTTTCAAAGCTAGAGAAAGAGATGAACAGAAGCACTTAGATTCTGCAGCTGTTCTCTTATTATATTCTATATACTTGATAAGTATGTTTGCTTTTAACCATGTAAATAGCTATCTGAAAGGGGAAAACTAGTCATATTAAGTAATACATTTTCTTTTCTGTTTAGAAATTTGGTCTACTCTTAGGTTAGTTTATTTTCTTCTCTGTAATTTTCTCCCTTATATTCACTGTAGTGCTTGTGTTTTTGGCTTCAGGCCAGTGGTAAAATGAGGTAGTGCTGGGCGTATGTTCAGTGTGGGTTGGATTATGCTAATACAACCAGGAAGCATCCAGCCAGGCAAGTCTCTCCGTGACAACCACAAAAAACAAGCTTTATGCTCTCTCATGAGGGAACTGAACACAAAACTCTTCTCTCTGATTTCAGAGGCATGTATTCACCATGTATTAAGCACTAACTACTCTTTAAGTTACCAAACAAGTTATGTGAGTTTTTCAGGATTCATGTCTTACGTTTGCTGCTACATGATACCATACCTTAATCAAAGCAATCGTTCAGAAAGAGAAGGTTAAGCATTAAGCTACTGGTCACTGTAAACTAATGCTGAAAAGAAATACACCATTCTTACAAATAAACGGAAGGGTCAGATTAAACTGGTGATAGGCTGCACTGTGGAAGACTTGCAAACAATCAGCTCCAGCTGCACAATGACAATCATATTTGTGTCTACAGCTCCCTTTTACAACTATTCATTCTGTTATCTTCTGTTGCTGCTCTTGGCAGTTTATTTGACAAATATACTTTCTACAGAGACAGTACATAAAATACCTTCTTATCTTTCAATAAATTCATATCCCTTATTACAACTGTACAGGTACCACAGTGATGAGCAAGGGGGTGATATAAGTTTCATGGTGCATTACAGCGGCTCCACTGGAGCAGGAAAATAATGGCATTTCCACTTAAAAAATACAGTCTGTATTAAAGTAGTGCAAACCAGAGATGCACTATATTAAGCAACAGTCAGCTCTGAGTATACACAATGAGGCCCACTGTTTCAGTTTTCATTTAGACAGTGCTCTCACACAAAGGTGTACAAAATTCAATATTGCCAACTCTTGTGATTTCATTGCAAGTCTTGCAGCATTTGGTGTTTTCTTAAATCACTAGCTACTTGAGTCATGTTATAATGGGAAGATTTCCATCTTAATTTAAAACAAAAATAGGACTCATAGCTATGGAGAAAATCTTTAATAAGTGATCATTAAAGATTTAAACAAGCAAAAGGCAAAAAAAGGAACTCAGATTTTATAATCTTGTAAAACCTCCTTACTTTTAAATCAGTCTCATGTTACTGTGGGGCTTTTTGAACACTTGATATTCTTGGCAATACTGAACTACAGACCGGAATCCAAAACCCAGGTCTTAAAAATATTTAAGCATGATCTTGATGAGACTGTATTATTCCCATGCATAAAATTAAGCATATACTTAAGTGTTTGCATGACTAGGTCCAAATGTTGCCACATTCATCTTCTAAATAAAACTACAATACTTGCTTATTTATTCCACACATTCACACTGTTTCTGTTGGTCATGTGTTTAATTTTTGCCACTGTTAAGGACTGTGTTACACCACCAGAGGGTACAGAAGTTCAGATTTTGTATTACAGGATGTTTTTATTTGAATTGCAGCCTAATTTAATGTCATTTGTTGTTATATGATATGCTTTTTATCACAGTGTTGATATGTACCATGACCAAAATATTACCAGCAATTACAAGCCTAGGGCACTTAAGGGTCAGCTGTAAAATTATACATATACAAAAGCTCAAACCTCTGCTGCTTCACATAAAAAAAATTAAAAAAAATAAAAGATTTTCAAACTTTGGACTTCATCTTACAATGGTCCACATGAGTATTTTTCATTTAAAAGCATATGGGGAATATAATGGGCACAGCAGACAGCAAGAACTCTGTACTAATGAGCTTAAAATGCTGGACAGCCTCAACGTTATTGCCAGTAGGAAGGGTGAGATCAGGAAAGACAGAGTTTAATTAATTCTTCATTTGTATGCAAAAATCATTGTTAAAACTCATCCAGACATGCCTATTCTCTGCCCTGACCCTTTTTTATTTTGTATATTTTCTGAGGACAGGAATTAGTGAGCAAAGGGAAATGAATGTTATTTCTGCTCAGCGCAGTGGACATTTTCTGATTAACCTTTCTTGGACACACACATAGCATCTACTCACAGTTGCACTGGAGCACAACCACTTTGTGCTTCCTGCTCGCAACATTCAAAGGCTATGTCTAGACTGCCCCTCTTGCACAAAAAATTATGCAAATGAGGCATGGAATATTACCATGCCTCATTTGCATAATTAGGCTCTGTTTTTGCGCAAGAGGCTTTTGCGTAAAAAAGTAGCAGTCCACATGGCTACTTTGTGCGCAAAACATCCGTCTTGTGCAAGAGCCATTCTTCCTCTTTTTTTCAGGAAGAGCCTCTCTTGCACAAAAGCCTCATTAATTATGCACATTATGGTGATATTCCATGCTATGCCTCATTTGCAATTTTTTTGCACAAGAGGGGGCAGTCTAGACATAGCCAAAGACTGGTGGGATTGAGGTCTTCACATTCACTAACTCATCTAAAATATCAGATCAGAGATTCACAACCTAGCCCTATTTACACAAGGTAAAAAGTAGACAGAAATCCTCCTATTCCCAGTTGTTCAGTGGTTCGCTTATTCTTGATGTCAGATTCAACATGTATGTCTAAGTTTAACAATAGCTGAGCAAAAAAACCCCACAAAAAACAAAAAAATCCCTACTATTTGTGCGTGAGAAATATATCTATGCACACACATTGAAATCTGAATGCATATCTAAATGTAGAAATAATTGCAACACATCAGTGCCCAAGGGTTTTTTGAAACAGTCACATAAACTCTCTCTAGTGGAAGAACCAATTTAAATCAAGATCACACTTCTCGCTCCTTAACCATTTGACATCAAAGTGCTGAAACATTTTGAAAAATCCTTTTTTTTTTTTTTTTTTTAAAGATTTTCCAGTCTCATGTTTTCAGACCCAGTAGATTTGGCTAGTTTGGGTGTGTGTCTGATCTTTTGGATGATTATCCATAGAAGAGACTTTTGTCCATCATCAATAACATGGAACAGGGTTTATGTGTGTGTCTAGTCAGCAATAGACACACATTTAAATGAATTCCGGAAAATAAACAAAGATGGCTCAAGGATGACAGAACGCCCACGGTCAAGGAGAGGGAAAATAGATTAGTATGACAAGAATTCTGAGTTCCAGTGCAAATGTAGAATTTTAACAGAAACTGGATTTTATTGCAGGGATTTGTATTTCAGAAGTAGAGAAAGAATTACATAAGGATTGATCCTAACCATGCTGTCCCTGTTAGTTATCCTAGGTACATGAAAGTATTTATTAGAGGCAATAAGAATAATGAAAATTCTGTCACAAAGGTTTCAATTTCTGAGAAGAAACTGACACCCTTTTTCCCCTCCAAGAATATCCAGTAGTCTGGTAATTAGACTGAAAGGCGAGACACCTAAGTTCAAATCCCCCATATGTCTGTTTTGTAGTATGGACTCAAACCTAGATCTATCACATATCATAGGGACAATGTAGATCTCCCTTGCATTTGGAAAAATCTCAGGCTATGTCTACACCACAGACTTCTTTCAGAAGAAGCTTTTCCAGAAGAAATCTCCCAGAAAAACTTCCGCCAAAAGAGAGCATCCACACTGCAAAAGCACATCGAAAAAGCGATCTGCTTTTTCGAAAGATAGCATCCACGCTGAATGGACATTATCTCACATTTCAGCTGTGATTACTATGGATGGAGTGGCCACCAGGGCACCTGTGCTTTTTCCTCTTTCCTCTTCTTTTGAAAGAACTCCCTCTTCCCCATCTACACATGCCCTTTTCCGAAAGAGCTCTTTTGGAAAAAGGCTTCTTCCTCATAGAATGAGGATTACCAATGTCGTAAAAAACCCTCTGTTCTTTTGAGTTCCTTTCGGAAGAACGTGATTGCAGTGTGGATGTAACTGAAGTTTTTCTGGAAAAATGGTAGTTTTTCCGAAAAAACTCTGTAGCGTAGACATATCCTCAGTGTCATTGACATATAAAATAAAAATCAGCCAAAAAAAAAAAGTTTTCTGGTCAGCCCTATTATAGAGCTGGAATCTGGATATTTAGATTAAATAAATCTATATTTAAAACTTAGAGATGCCATTTAGCAAAAATCACTGCAGAAATATTTGGATCACAAATAAATAAGGAGCCTTTTGAAACTCCTCCAAAACCATAATATCATATATAATAATGTTCTAACTTAAATACATACCAGAAAACAAAAACAAAATTATGTTAAAAGGCTACCATTAGTTATTCAGTCTCAAGTCACACATTTCTTTCATACTGTACCTTCTAAAGTATAAGAACCAGAGTTGTGAGGTTTCTGCCTTTCCCAAGACAGTCCATAGGTATATGAGATGCACTTCTTAGGGTCACTGAAGGACAAAATGGCAGGCTTTTATTTGAGTGCCTTTGCTTTTGTAGGCTTAAATCAAGCTGCTGATACTACTGTAACATAGTGTTCCATACAAAAAAGCATTTTTGGTCATTTTATGCACTGGACGGCCCCTCTTTCAAGTGATCAGCCTGTGTAAAAAGCTCTTGTTTTTCAAAACAGTTTTGCAGTCCTTTGAAACAATTTGGGTTTGAATCCACTTGATTCACCCATGGTAGAATGTGGGTGCAAACTCATAGGAAAATTCAAGGTCAACAGTTTGGCATATGTTGATGGTTAGTCACACAGCTGTGTATGGAGATTATAGATTTATTAGTACCAGAGGCATGAAGAGTCACATGCTAGAAAGTAACATGACTTGCCCATTGTAACTTTTCCCAGGAAGAAATTTTGCGCTCCACATTCACCAAACAGTGGCACCAATATTCACGAATGAAGGTAA